ATTTTAAAGATAAAATTAGGAAAGATCATTCATTTGAAAAAGTATTGAGCACCTGCTGTATGCAAGGAGGTATGCTGAATAGACCATGAAGATAATAATAACCCCTAACAACTGTATATAGTTTATAGTTTAGAAAGCACATGTGTTCCCAGCTAGGATGTTTGATCCACCTTCCAGAGAAGGAGGCTGATGTTGTGGCTGTCCCAGAACAGAAAGATAGAAATAGAACCATAATCTAGATATTTTGACTAGTTCAGAATTCCTTTCGTTCTAGATTTGATTCTTCCTCTTAAACATTTTAAAATTTAAGAAACTGTTTAAATAGAAAATACACTTGCTTGGTTCCAAATTTGAAATGTACGATGGGAACATAGAGGAAATTCTCCCTCCCATCCTTGCTCTCCAGCCATCCAGACATCTAATTTCAGTGTTGTCTTAATTTGCATTTTTTTCATGTGAGTGAGATTGAGCATCTTTTCAGATATTTCAGAGATATTTTGTATTTTTTTTTCCTATGAAAGGTCTGTTAATTTCCAGTGACCAATTTTCTACTTGGTAGTTAATAACTTCTTTTTTTATTTGTAAGAGTTCTCTGGGCATTAGGGAAATTAGCCCTTTGATTTTATGGTAATGTTTTCATTTTATATTTTCGCTTGGTCATTTGTCTCTTAGAATTGCTCTTATCATTTTTTTTCCCCATGCAGGTCTTTTTAAATGTAGTTGAATTTACCTTTCTTTCCTTTTATGACTTCTACTCTTGAATCATTCTTAAGCTAGTGTTGAATTAAATACAGTGGATTCCTGCCTTCAAGTTGCCCAATAAGCCAGTAGGAAAATCAAGAAAAATACCTAAATAACCATAGTATGTTACCATGTGGTTACTACTTTAATGTGGTACAAAATGTGATTTCTCCATCTGTCTATCCAAATCTAGTTATTGCTCCATCTGTCCATTTACCCGTCCATTTTTCAAGCTTTTATTGAACTCTTTCTAAGAGGCGACATTTTGTGGTGATAAAGCATGTAGATCAAGATGACAGACATCCAGATCTGAAACTCGGCTGTCTGTTTACCCCTCTGTGACCTTGGGCAGGTTACTTAATCTCTCCACATTTTTGTTTTTCATATTATCCCATGAGATAGTACAGAAATGTAGAATGTGGCGGGGTCAAGGATTAGAGATTGAAGAACAGATATTGTGCGTAGCTTAGGAAAAGAGCTGTACGACAAGTCTGATGCCTGGATCTTTGATTTCAGGTGGTAGATTCTGAATTCTGACAAGGTCCAGAGGTGGTCAGTAGAGTGGTGGTAAAAGTAAAGGCCCCTGGATTGATCAAGTGAAGGACCGAAGGGCTTGTGTTGGCTGGTCATCTATACAATCCTTGAAATCATCCAGGATGATGCCAAGACATGGGGTGGGGAAAAGCCTGTGGGCCTCTTGCAGTCTTCAATGAATCAAGGGAAGTGGCTCTGAGGAAGACAGCAAGGGAGAGGTAGAGCATGGACAACCAGAGCTCCACAAGCAGGTATTTTTATCTGGCTCTGGAGAAGTCATGCTCAAGAAGTGATGGTATGAGGTGAGGAAGACAGTCGCTCCACCTGTGACCCTGACATTCAAGAGAGACACCTCCTTTGAGAAGAAAGCCAGGGAAAGGTGACTTTGGATAAAGTAACTTTTTGGTAGCAACCTCACAGCAGACAGTGGCCAAGTGGGATTGAAGGAGGAGACTATGGAGTGAGGTTTTAATAAGAATCTCAGACCTTTTAAAGCCTCAATTGGCATCCCTTAATAATGGGAAATGCTGTGGATGCCAGCAGTGTCAGAGTTGAGAACAGCCTGACTGGAGGGAACTTGGAAGACTGCAGGGTGACCAGTATCATGAGTAGATGACATAGCTCTGTGATGCCTGGATCTCGAAATACCATAAGCTGGGGTTCTAGGGAATAGTTCTTCATTCTATGAGTTGACTCTCAGTTTGCATCATTACATCGAAAGTTCCAAGACTTTCCTCTTCCTCTTGTGCAAACAAACCACATCTTGCACCAGCCAAAGTCCATCTCACCTCTCAGCTATGCTAGGTCAACCACCCAGCCATGAGGAGTTTCATTTTCCTGGTAACTCAGTGTTTCTAGGAAACAATGGGCCCTTCACTTCTATCCCAGTTTTACTGACACATGATCATATATAATTGACACGGTTTATAAAGAACCATTCACCTGTTGGACATATCTCCAGATCTGGAACCTAAGAAAATGAAGTTGTAGCAGGATAAATTGAGGTAGGATACTAAGAAAGCTTTTGGGCAGGAGGACTAGGCAGGAGGTTTGGGGATGAGGAAATGAGAATGAATGCATAATGTTTAAGGGAAGTGGTGATGGGGGACTACCTTCTTCTTTGAGTCATCTTCAGAGATAGTTTGAAAGGAAGGAAAAGGTGCCTTCAAACATTACACAGGTCTCTGGTCTGCTCTAAGTCCTGTTCTCTTTCATTGTGGAATCCATATAACCCTGAAAAGGATGCTGGTTGAAAGAATGACCAGCTGACAGAGATGCTGATGCAAATAGTTGATAGTAGTATTTGATAGTAGTAACCAAATTCTTAGAGTGTGACCATGAGCCTTCTAGCATCCCAGTATGAGAGAGGACACTCCAAACTCCTGCCAAATTCTCCCAGCTGAAAACAAATCAGAGAAGACTTTCAACTTTTATTATGCTCTGGCTTCTGGCCATGGCACTCTGGTCTTTTAACTTTGAGTTGTAAAAGTATTCACAGAAAGCTCTGGAGAGGACAATAGAATTGGTTTTTAAATCACCTATTTCCTCCAGGGGTATGAAAAATAAAGAGTGATTTCAAGTTTTGTAAATACAAGGAAACCAGAGGGTGCATGTCAAAGCCAATGAGATATTTCTGCAACTCGTACAGAATTCTGGTGTGTGCTTTGTGCTAGGTTCCATTGAGGGGGAGAGAGAGCAGTTGCCTGAAGTTGGAGGTCCATGTCATGTCCTCTAGGCTGCTTTAGGGCTACCTCCTTCAAGCTGGGCCATCCTCTCTGAACTATCTATCTATGTGTGCAAATGGGGAAGGAGGCCCTATTAGACAGAAGGCTGGCAGTGTAGGGTGGAGGCCATGGTCTCCTTGAGGGAGAACAACCGGGAAGAGGGCATCTGCCCCATCTGCCAGGAGCACCTGAAAGAGGCAGTGAGCACTGACTGTGGACACTTCTTCTGTCGAGTGTGCCTGGCCCAGCATGTGGAGAAGGCCTCAGTCTCTGGAGTCTTCTATTGTCCCCTCTGCCGGAAGCCCTGTTCTGAGGGAGTTTTTGGGGCAGCCTACATCTGCCACAGCCACCAGAAGAAAGTGTGCTGGTTCTGTGAGGAGAGTAGACTTCTTTTGTGTATAGAATGCCTGGTGTCCCCTGAACACAAGTTTCATTGTGAGCTGGCCATTGAAGATGCCATCAGCCATTACAAGGTAAGGCCGGGTAACTATCTCCCTGAGTTACTCCTTTCCACCCTCTGGCCCTTATGCCTGGTATATCACAGAGGCTCAATAACTGACACTTTTTTTTTTTCCTGCTTCATCCTATTTGGACCTTTGTTTTGCTTTTCCGTGTATATTTTGCTACTGGTGTTAAAGTGTCAATGTATTACTGTATAGATTAGAAGTGGAGTGAGGGAATGAAAGGAATCAAAGATGACTTCATGAGTTTCTAGTTTGAGGCACTGGATGGATGAGGCACTGGATAAGGACAGGGAGAACAGGTTTGAACGAAACATCAAGTTTCATTGAGGATAAGTTGAGTCCAACTTGAGACACGCCGAAATAGGATCTTAGATATGCAGTTGGATATGAAATCTGGATCTCCAAAGAGTGTGGGTAGTATTTCCAGAGCCTAAAACAGGGACCCATCATAATAAAGACATTTAAATCCAAGAGAATTGATACAATATCCTCAGGAGAGAGTCTAGAGAGAAAAGAATTTCCAAGGTCCTGAGAAAGGCTATCATTTAGATGTAAGGTGGAAGAGGACCCAGCAAGTGAGACCTAGCAAGGCAGGAGAAAAACGAGGGGAGAGGTGTTCCAGACGCTAAGAGAGAAGAATATGGTAAGAAGTGATGGTAGAGTATGTTGAATGATGCTGAGCACCCCTGTAAGACAGGAGGTGGAGGGGTGAATGCTGGGCTAGGAGCAAAAGAAAGTGCCTCCAAGTGTGGGTAGTTTTGCAGTTTGGGAGATTGCTTGAGTGTTCTAGTTTATTTTCTCAATAACATATGAGGAAAGAACATCAGCAGTGTGGATAGAGATGGGTTGTGTAAAGTTTGAAGAGAGAGGAGTGGGTGTGATATACTTTGGGTAACTGAAACTATGAGAGAAACTGAGTAGGACTGGCAGGCAGTTTGGGGCACCAATCTGAGTTTTGAAATGGGATTTAATGTGTTTCATGAGGCTGCTTGAGGACAGCCAAAGAAAAGGTAGGGCTTATCCAGGGATAAGGAGTTGCCTGAACAGTAATATAAGGAGAGAGAGGCAAGGGAGTTGAGCGTGTTTCTGAAGGAGTGATTGTAATGGTGGACCCTGTGTGTGTTTGTAGATATTGATAGCATAGGTGTGAATAAAGATTTCTTATGACTTCTCACCATGTCTTTATTTCTTTGAATTAAATCTTATTAATTAAATATTGTCAGTTGTGTCTTTTATGAAGGAATTACTTAATCCCTTACTGCACTCCAGAAAGACTGAAAAATTTGCAATACTACGAAAGTACACCTGTTTCCTCACTGCCCAACCCATGTTGGAGTCAATCACATTAATTGTATTTTGCTGTTTTCTTAAGCGTGCAACAGTGACTGAAATTGTTTTACTTTGCTTGATTATGAATGCTGGTGATAGGCTTTTACCCATAGAAAGACTCACTATCTACATTTTCCCTTAGAATCAGAGCATAAATTCTACATGATTACATCAAAGCAGCTCATCTTTTAGATAATAAAGTATATTAGTTGTGTTTAACCTCCATTTCCTTTTTATTGCATCATCGAGGGGAAATTTTAGAAATTTGTGTTTAAATCAGTTATATTTCTTTCTCAGAAATTCATCAAATTGATTATGCTGTTCTGTTTCATTTTTAAAGATCTATTAAGTCTAGTTTATTTGGAATTTAATATGATGTGTTGCATCAAGGATTATTCCACGTTAATTTTTCTTTATTCTGGTATCCAGTTACCCCCAAAACATTTCTGTGAGTCCTTCCACAACTATGTGTTGTTTTGGTTTGACATAAATTTTTGTAATTGCATAGTTATTTTAATTCTGGCCATTTATTATTTTTTGTTCTAAAGTTATTATATAGTTTTATACTCGTTGCTTTAAGTTTTTTGAAAATCTACCAGCATCTTTGCTATGTAGTATTTTTTTTTTTTATTATCTAATGTTCTCACTGTCTGTCTTTCAGAGGAATTTTCTTGTGCAATGCTTCTAAGTTCTATAGAGAATCCTCTCAAATTTTAATTAGCATTGCATCAAATTCTGTTGATTACATTAAGAATTGCAACTTTGGTGGCTGATTTGGTCTTCTTGACCAACAGCAGGATATGTTGCTAAGCATTTTCTGTTACATTTTTGAATCAGATGTTCAATTATCTTTATTTAAACCTCATATTGAGGGTAGCTATACCTTTTGTAAGGTTCATTTTTTGGCAATGGTACTTGTAGATTCCAATCAGAGTCTTTGCTGAATTCCTATATCCTTTAAGTTAATTTTCTAGATGAATGATCATGTGGACATCATCAGGTTTAGTCATTATAGCATTGTTTTCCCTCATCATATATAATGGGTCATATCCGTATTTTGGAGCACTTGTAGCTCTTAAGGAATATTCTTTTTGAAAGTTGGTTAATTTTTTTTTTTTTTTTTTGGTGATTGTATCAGGGGAAGGTATCTTGTTGTTTGTTAATCACTTTTTCTTTTATGCATTTTGTTAGAAAGCCATTTGAGAAAGAATTTCAATCTTGCTAGGTTTTCATGTTTCATCACTACTTACTGCCTTTTCCAGTCAATTTTTTTCTGTGAAATCACATTTTATCTGATGTTTGATAGGATCAGAAACTTGAAAAAATTATTCATTAAGACAAAACAGGTCTTGTACTGTTCCCTATGTTTCAATTTGTCTTTTTTTCCATGAGGAATATTTTAAGAAAATAAAAGTCTGTAGAATTTTGCATTTAATTCTAATGAGTGCCTTAGTCACATGATATGCACTCACTAAACATTATTTAAATGCAAAAATGGATGAATAAACAGAAAACCTTACCTTATTCATTTTGAATATTATAAATGACAGATCTGTATTTTCTTTGATTATTTCATACATTTACCTTTATTGTTATCCTTGTTTCCTTTTTTCTCTTACACAGTGTTTATAGTTGACTTTAAACTCTTCATTAAATTTTAAGCTACACCAGAAGATAGGACTGTGACTTTTTGGACTGGATCTTAGAAATAGGCCTGATTACAACAGGCAGAAATAGATAGTATTCTATGCAGAGGGAAGTGAAAGATAAGCCTTGAGGTGTGGCTGCATGGAGCATATTCAGGAAATCACAACCAGCTCTGTTTAGCTAGTGTAGAGAGCATGGAGGGAATAGAGAGAGGTAAGGGTAGAAATATAAATTGGGGTTAGGTCATGGAGAGCCTTGGATTAAGGAGTTTAAGCTTATCTTTGGTAATGGGATACTATTTTGAAGAGAGGAGTAACACAGGTAAAAGATGAAATATTATGGAGATTTCAAGCTGGACGACAGACAGAATCGTGGGTCCAATGACAGAATTACAGAAGTCAAGGATAGCAGACTGTACAAGAGGATGGCGAAGGGGATAATAAGTTTGATTTCTCCAGACTGATTTTGAGATGCCAATCGGGCTGTAGGAGATTCTTAACTCTCAGCTGGAAACATGGGATTGATTGTTTAGAAAAAGATCTTATTATGATAAATATATGAAGCTTCCAGAATGGAAAGTTAAGAACACAGTTTGCAAATAGAAAAGGACTAAGGAAACAACCTGAGAAAGGTCAAAGAAGGACAGGGGGTAGAGGGGTAGAGTGGGTGGAACATGACGGGAGAATTACATCAAAGAAGAAGGCACCTTTGGATTTTATTTCTGGAGATCACTGGTGATGCTGGAGAAGAAAATTTCAAGAGTGATGAGAAACAAAACAGATGGCTGAGGAGCAAGGGATCATGAGATCGTGAAGACAGCGAGAACAGACTACTCATTCAAGAAGTTCAACTGTAAGGGTAGAGAGAGAGTAGATTGATGAAGTAGCAAGGTGAAGATTGTTTGCTTGCTTTTGAACTTTGTGAGACCTTAACTTTTGTACTCACACAGCAATTCTTCAGCCCAGCCCAGCCTCCCCCTCACAGTGGAGATACATGAGTGAAATCCACCATGACCACTTACTGCCTTCCACTTCCTCCCTGAGTGCTTTGTTATTTCTCTGCTAGGAAATGCCTGCAGGTAATACCAAGTGATGTGGCAATTTTTTAATAACTTCCTAGTGACATCTTCGTCTCCTCTGAAGCCTTTCGTTTGCCTGAATGTTCTTGCTGCTCTCTCACTCACAGTCCCTTGATCTTGATTTCATCCACAGACTCTCAGGGCCAGAAAAAACTTTCAAAAACATTTTCTCCAACCCCAGCCTCTACCTCCAGTGATGTAGGAACAAGGCAAAAATGACAAAAAGTTAAAAATATTGCCCATAAACAGCCAACAACAATAAAACCTCCTAAATTTTTTTTATTTTGGCCTGAGGTTAGATTTAGTTAATGAAACATACACTTTTCAATTAATAGCACATCCTTCCTTTTAGTCCACAAATTCTTGTTCTGTTTTATTTGATGGTTGCATTCAATCATCATTCCTCTCTTTCTCAAGAGCAACCATTTAAAGTGTTTGTTGTATTTTTATTTGTAGATGGTTTGGTAAAACACACATTACTATATTGTGTGCTGGTATATTGAATTAACAAAATTATAGGCCTCCTTCTATTTCTTGCATTTCCACTCTACCATGTGTTTAAGGTCAGTCCGTATTTCGTGTGTCATATACAATTGGCCCTTGACCATCACAAGGGTTAGGGATGCCTACCCACCACACAGTAAAAAAAATCCCATATCACTTCAGTTGTCGTCCCTCCACATACACAGATTCTCAGCAATATGTAGTCCATTGTTGCTGACAGCTGCACAGTATTCCATAGCAGGCATCTGCCACATCTGTTTTCCCAAGAATGGACTTTACATGTCTCCAGCTCTCTGTTACCACAAACAATGCTGTAGTGTGCACATCCTCTTAGGACCTAAGTGAGGAATTTTTTGGGATATTTAGCCAGAAACAGGACCACTGGCTCAGAAAGGAAAGCACACAGGTGGCCAGGACCCTCACCAGAGTAGCTGGGTCAGCGCACATCTCACCAGCCTGCAATATAGTCCTTATATCCACATACATCTCTCTCTCTCCCCCAGGTGTTATCCAGTTGTCTAATTTTTATTAATCTGATGAATATCAAATAATGTTTTGTTGTGTTAATTTCCATTTCCCTAATCACTGGTGAGCTTGGGCATTGATTCACCTGCATTTCAGCTTTTTCTATTCCCTCTTCTTTAAATATTCTTTGCAAATTTTTCTCTTGGGTTCCTGTCTTTTTGTTGGCTTGTAGACTTTCCTTTTCATATTCTACATTTAAATCTCTTGTTTTAACACCATAGATATCATCTCCTAGTCTGTCATTTCTCTGTTAATTTTTCCCATGGTGGTGTCATCAAACAGTAATATTTAATTTTGAAGTAGCCAAATTAAATAATGCCTTCGTAGTTTGTGCTTTGGGAAGTTTACTTAAGACATCTTTCCCTCCCAGGTCACAAATTTATTCTCTAACATTATTTTCTTTTAACTCTGTAGTTTCACCTTTCATATGTAGATCTTTAATCCATCTAGAATCTACCTCCACATATGGCTCTAGGTAGGGATCGGCTTTATTTTTCTCTATTATTGCAAGCCAGTTTTTTCAACACCATCTACTACAGATTCTATCCCTTCTCTTCTTGATTTATGTATTACTTTTTCTTTTAAATTCCTTTGTAAACATGAGTCTGTTCCTAAGCAGTCTCTTCTCTCATTTTCTATTTGTTCTTGCACCAGTACCATGCCATTTTGTTACTATGGCTTTGTATGCCCTTATATCTGGTAAGGTAAATACATTTTGTAGCTAATCTAACAAAGGATTACAAAAAGAATGCTTTCAGCGTCTTTTGTTGATGTCTCTGCCTTTCTTCCACATTGCTTTTCCTCATCATTGTTCATTGTTGATTCACTAAAGGCTTATGTCGATATCAGTATCAGCTTTGTTTACTTTTGCTTCCCTTGTAGTTTAGCAAAAATCTGAAAGAATTTTTTTTTTAGAAATGGAAATCATTCATTTCTAATCATCATATTCTTAAATCATATATCCTTAAGTCATCTATTCTTAGTGTCAGGAACACAGTGACCCATCCAGACACTGATTTAAGATTTAGAGAGAGGTCACATGCTTCCCTGGACAATGGGTTTGCCTCTGATAGAGGGCTCTTGTCCCTCTCAAGTGGTACCAGAGGCCTCTCATCTCCTCTGTAAGTCAATGTCTCTAGACTGTCTTCACTTGTTGATGAGAAGTAATGAGAATTGCTAATGATCAGCATACAACTCGATGTTGGGAGAAAAATACCCTGAAGTCAAGTAGAGAAGATTCTGTTACTATGTTATTTTTGTGTAGTTAAGGCTTTAAAAAAATTACTCATTGCTCTTCCTCATCAATGTTCTTTAAACTCATGTTCCTTACCCCAAGCAAGACACTTCAAGGGATGCCTGTTTTTAGGCAGAATCTTACTTTAGCCTCATATTGGGCTCAGGACCCCGACCGCGTTCCACTGAGCACAACCATCACCCCCACTCTGTCTCTCTAGGAACGACTCAACCGCAGGAGCAGGAAGCTCAGAAAGGACCTTGGGGAACTTCGGCGACTCCGGGCTCAGGAGGAAGAGAAACTGCAGGCTATGCAAGTGGGTTTTAAAAAGTCCTGGGAAGGATTACCTCCGAGTGTCCCTAGGTCCCTTACTCCCTGTTCTGGCCATTTGTCTGTCTCCTGATACAGGGGGAGGTCTTGGAGGCTGGAAACCTGGGTGCTGGGCTTGGCTGACCTCAGGGTTTGCTGGTTGAGTGACCTGGGGCAAGTCGAGCCCTCTGAGCTTCATGTGGTTCATGTGTTAAAAGAAGCCAGTCCCACTCCACCTAACTCCTGATGAAGATCATACGAGACAAGCAGCCCCTCATTTGAATATTACTATACAAAGCACAGGTCTCCGTCTCTGGCAGTCTAACTTTCTGTCCCTCTTGCTCACTTACATTTGGGGTCTCTCCTCACCCTATGACCTAAAGATTGTTAAAAGCAGGCAGTAAAAGGCTAGAGCTGATCAGGGTGTGTGTTTATGTGTGTGTGACATGGCATCTGTGGATATCACAAGAGCAAGAGGCAGGAAAGGGTGGTGTCTCTCCACTTATAAGGATCACAGCTGCCTCTGTAATACCTATGACATGCAGAGGTAATTCCACAAGGGGAAGAAGACTGAGGAATCAACTTTCTCACTCAGATACTGAGAGACTGAAGGGCCAAGAGAGAGCCATCTGACAAGTGAATCTTAGGGGGTCCCTTTTCTGTAGTTTCAGGTAGCCTGTGGGCCCCACAGGCTGGAGGCTAAGATGGAAAACCAGCTCCAAACTGAGAATCAGCCGGATGCCCTCCCTCAGCAGTGGCCAGACCAGCTGAAGGGCATGCCAGCAGAGGTGTCCGGAATCTTTGACATCTCCAGGACAATAACATCTCTCAGCAGCCTGGTTACTGATCTAGAAAGGACGGCCAAGAAACTAGATGCCAACATGCTGAAGGTGCATACCACAAGACACCTTTCAAAGACAGGGATTCTCCACAAATTGTGGGCAGCCTACCTGTAGCACTCTTCTGGGATGTGAATGGAGGAGCTTCTCTGTAACGTGGTGGTGGCTAGTCCAAGGCTTACACAATACTGCTGCAGCAAAGTGGGGTGCAAAAGAGAGGTGCCATTCCCTCCAGTTCTCAAGATGACACCTTGGGGTGGCATCCAATAGTAGGTTGGGGAAGATATTGGGAGGTGACAGGAACTTGAGAACCAATTGTGATTCTCACTCTCTGTCTCTCTTCTAGAACGCCAGTGACTTATTGACCAGGTATGAGCCGTCCCATCTTCCTCCCACATGTGCTTACACATACAAATCCACACAAACATACACATCCACATGGGCTTTATCAAAGTTAAGGATATCCACTGTTCTGTTAACTTTTGTATCTTTGTGCTACATGGCCAGTGGAAGATTCAATAGAATGTACTGAAGGATTTCTTTGTTTCTAGGAGTGTTCCTCAAAAATTAGGAGCTTTTTATCCCAAGCTATTGAAGAGTCAACAAATCACTTCTTCAGCCATCCTCAGCAACTTTGACCTGTGCATTCCCGGCCACCTCATCTCAGCCTCATCTCATCCTCCTCGCTGTCTTTCCTCCAATCTGTCCAGCCTCCCATTAAGTCTACCCAGTGCACCTTTGGTTCTGCCATGTCCTGAACATGACCCCCTTTGCTCATCCCCACAGCCACGACCTGATACCTGATCATCTGACACTTGGACAATAGTTACAGCCTCCTTCCTGAACCAAATTCGAGTTTGTGGCTCCCCCTGCAGAGGTCGAGATGCAAAATTTCCACTTTTGGAGAGAGTGCCTATCTCTCACAATCTCATATTAAAATAGAAGTATCCCGGCACTTGGGGGGCCACCTCTGTACATGGAGCTGGCAAGTCTGAGCTCCTGTAGCATTGTTGTCTCTACCACTCACATGGCACTTATTATTTTGTGGGCAGACAGATTCTAGTGTGCCCACCCCCCCATGATCCTTCTCTCTTGGTGTTCATGCACTTGTGTGATTCCTTCCTCTTGGGTGTGAGCAGGACCTGTGACTTGTTTCAATAGAATATGGAAAGGTAATGGGATGTTACTTTCATAATTAGGTTACATTATATGGCAAAGGGAATGAAATGTCACTTCAGGGACTCTCTTTTGAGACTCTACTTGTGGGATTGGTGCAGTGAGTGGCTCTGTGGTCATTGGGCAGCCTCCGGGAGCTAAGAGCAGCCTCCAGCTTTAAGCCAACAGGAAGCTGCAATAAAGTGAATTCTGCATGAATTATGTGTTGTAATTCAGCCTAAGTGAATGTGGAAGTGGGTTTTTCCCCAGTTGAGCTTCCAGATGAGAACCCAGCCCAGGTGACAACTTGATTGCAGCCTAGCGAGACCCTAAGCAGAGGGCCCAAATGTATGACCCATAGAAATTGTGAGGTAATAAATGTCACAGAAACCGTGACATAATAAATGAGTATTTTAAGACACTAAATTTGTGGTAATTTTTACAGACCATTGGATAACTAATACATTTATATATTAAGTATTTGCACATCATTTCTTTGGGTGAGTAAGGACAGTAGTCTGTCTTTGTGTCTCTAGTATGTGCTCAGTGAAATGTATTAAGTGGATGCATGAATAATCGAAAGTATAAGGGCCATTTCTTGATGCTCCATGTTTAACAAAGGGAGTCTTTAACTGGTATGTATTAAGCCCTTGCTGAAATAGTCAATACTATATTAGGCACTGAGAGATATAAAAAATAAAACATGGCTGCAAGGAAGTGCTGTGTTGTGGTGCAAAGAGTAAAAAATTTGACTTAAATTCAATCCCAGTCCTGACACCTAATAATTCTGTAACTCTGGGCAAGTTACTTAGCCTCTCTGAACCTCAGTATCACCCCCTTTAAAATGAAGATAATGGTACCTGTAGCCTGGGATTGTATGAAGAATTAAATATTATTATACTTGCTGCATTGCTTAACATGTCGTAAACATTCAAATGTGGTAATTCTATCTTCTTATTCTATTTCTCCATCCAGAAGCTTTTAATATAACTGTAGAACCAGGAAAAACACAGAATAACAAGAGAGTATGTGACTGGTTAAATTAAGTGTCACAGTTGTTAAGTGCTGTGGGGATTCAGAGGAGAGACACCAGTGAGGATGAGAAAGTCATGGTTGGCTTTGTTGGGGAGGTGCGACTGAACAGTGGGAGAGAGATGAGAGCACCAGGTCAGGATAGCTCCATGAATGAAAGCATGGAAGTAGGAATAAGCCACAGCATGTTTGAAGGAATATGAGACCAACTTGCTTAATTTGAAATATTCAGGAATGGGGAAGACCAGAAGTCAAGCAGAGGGTTGAATAAGTGACACCAACACATGGGCATCCATTGAAAATTTTGAGTCAGGAGTGAAGAGAACAAGTGGTGTCTAAGGAAAACCCTATCTTGAAGTCATCAAATTTTAGAATCTATCCACTTCCTCTGCACTGACTCCACACTCAAAAACAGGTAAACTTAAAGTAAAATTACCCTACAGGAGGAGCAAGTGCTGATAGGCCAATATGAGTATTTTCACTCACTAGCAGTTTCATTTCTCATTGTAAAAAATAGAAATTGTCTTTCTGAATCCAAGTCACTCATTGGATGTGGCCAGCATTACAATATTCACCAGAACCCACTCGGGTACCTGTTTTTGAACAAAGCAGTGCAGCATAGTGGTTAAGAACTCTTGAGGTAGATATGGATTAAAATCCTGGCTGCACGATCTTGCCTGAGCAAATAACCAAAACTCAGTTTTTTTAACTTTAAATGGGGATAATAATAGAAGCTACCTCATAGAGTTACCTAGGTTAAGTGCCATAATGTGTGTAAAGTCCTCTAACAGGCCAGGATCTTCACACACATTTACCATAGAAGCTAATAGTCATTTTAAAGGACACGGCTAAAACCAATAAGAATAAACAGAATAAACAAAAAGATACAATGCACTTTTTAGTGGAATCCCAGATTTGGGAGCTTTGGATATGTTTTATCATTATATAGGGACTTGTATGTATCTAGTTTGTTTTTGGGTTTTTTTTAAATATACAGCACTTTAGATGAAATATTGATTAGGGAAAGCAACTCAGCTCCCTCCAATCCCTGGCTCCTGAGCTTCAAGTCTTTTCTACCTGCCAAATTGAGGTTGATGAATAGGACTTCTCAGACGACTTCTCAGCCTGGGCCTCACAACTCTGTGCCCTCTCCCTTTGAGGTTGCGCCTGGATGGTTCACTCCTCACAGGGGCCCAGTGGGGAGATGATAGAACATTTTAGTTTATGTCTGATCAGAATAAACAGATAGATTGTCAATGAAGGGGAAGTTTAAGCACAATAAAACACAACACCAACAAGGGCTAGAAAATGAAATGTATAGCTATAATCAACAGAACAAGTAATAACAAATATTAGAGAGGATGTGGAGAAAAAGGAACCCTCATACACTGCTGGTGGGACTGCAAATTGGTACAGCTACTATGGAAAACAGTATGGAGGTTCTTCAAAAAACTAAGAATTGATGTACCATATGATCCAGCAATCCCTCTACTGGGTATTTATCCCAAAGACTTGAAAACCAATGTCCAAAAAGATATTTGCACACCGATGTTCATAGCAACATCATTCACAGTGTCCAGGACATGGAAGCAACCAAAGTGTCCTATGATAGATGATTGGCTAAAGAAGCTGTGGTACATATATACAATGGAATATTACTCAGCCATAAGAAGAGATGAAATACTGCCA